CACCGCCGAGATCCTGGAGTTGGCCGGCAACGCCGCTCGCGACAACAAGAAGACCCGCATCATCCCGCGCCACCTGCAGCTGGCCATCCGCAACGACGAGGAGCTCAACAAGCTGCTGGGCAAAGTCACCATCGCTCAGGGTGGTGTGTTGCCCAACATTCAGGCCGTGCTGCTGCCCAAGAAGACCGAGAGCCACCACAAGGCTAAGGGAAAGTAAATAGGGACAAAAGAGGGAACAACCGGCCGTTTGTTTCCAGATACCTAAACGGCTCTTTTAAGAGCCACCCACGTTTTCACCAGAAAAGCCGCTAACGCTGTTGTTAATATTGTATTTAAATTATAGCCTTGAAGGGCTGGGAAGGTGACTCAGTGGTAGAGCGCCTACCTTGCATGCTCGAGGCCCTGGGTTCGATTCCTCAGCACCACGTAAGCAAAAAGAAAAAAAAGCCGGAAGTGGCGCTGTGGCTCAAGTGGTAGAGCGCTAGCCTTGAGCTGAAGAGCTGAGGGGCAGCGCCCAGGCCCAGAGATCAGGTCCCATGACCGGACCCCACCCAAAAAAATTGTAGCTTGCAGAGAGATAAATACAAAAGGCCACATGAAGGCACATTTAGTACACGAGCTAAAACTGGATCCCTGAGTTACCAAAACGCTGTTCTACAGCATTTTCTATTAGCTTTCATCAGCTAAGGATTCTAATTTGGGGGCATGGTGACCACGCCCCAAACCCCAACCCGTGACCAGCACTGAGGAGGCAGGGTAGTCCGCAAAGCCACAACCTTACTACCAAGAAAGGTCTTGTCTCAAACATCCGAGGTGGGTGGTGAATCTCAGATCACACTCCTTTACTGAAAAATCAAAACGTCCAAAACCGTTAGGCACTGCTGTACTTAGACCAAAATCATAAAAGGATGACGGAGGACAATTTGTCCAATCAGATGTTCTTCTCGTGAACCAATCCGCAGGAAGATTCTTCAGCCAATGATTTTGTCGCGCGGGAGTTTTTAAAAACATTTCAAGGCCAATCACATTGCTTACAAGCGTATTTAAGGCCAACCTGTAGGCACCTTCGCTACAGGTTGCTGTGTGTCTTCTGTTATTCGAAATGGCTCGTACCAAGCAGACCGCTCGCAAGTCCACCGGCGGCAAGGCGCCCCGCAAGCAGTTGGCTACCAAGGCCGCTCGCAAGAGCGCTCCGGCCACCGGCGGCGTGAAGAAGCCTCACCGCTACCGGCCCGGCACCGTGGCGCTGCGCGAGATCCGGCGCTACCAGAAGTCCACAGAGCTGCTGATCCGCAAACTGCCGTTCCAGCGGCTGGTGCGCGAGATCGCGCAGGACTTCAAGACCGACCTGCGCTTCCAGAGTTCCGCTGTGATGGCGCTGCAGGAAGCGAGCGAAGCCTACCTGGTGGGTCTTTTTGAGGACACTAACTTGTGTGCCATCCATGCTAAGCGGGTGACTATCATGCCGAAGGACATCCAACTGGCTCGTCGTATCCGTGGAGAGAGGGCTTAAAGTCCAGCAAGTGTTTCTGACTGAAAAAGGCTCTTTTAAGAGCCACCCACAGTTTCACTGAAGTAGCTGTAATATGTTGATTCAGCCGCAAGAAGCCACGGTTTTTTGCAACTGCAGGATTCTTGCTGGTTAAAGTTGGTGTTTAATATGATAACCGAAACCCCATCATGGGCATTTTTATTACTAAAAATACTTATTGTTACCGTCAAGTATGCGAGTGTCACATGCAAAAATGTAGCTCTGTATTGCCAGGAATTAACCATTCTATGTATGTATATGTTCACATGTCACATATAACTCCATATAAGGTACAGCTAAATTTTCTCTTGCCAAGATTTCAAATACTCTCGTCTACATTCTAACAAGTCACAAAAAAGTCAATTGCAACTGCAAGATTAATAGAAATAACATTCACTATGATCAAAAAAAATTTTTGACAAAAAATACCATCGTAAAGCTCCAGATTACTATGGTCTTAGAAATAGAACATCAACATTTGAGTTTTAATAGCTTCAGGGAAAATTCTGAGCAAGATCTTTTTCAATTTATTCAGCCTTCCCTTGCATCCTAACCTGTTTATATTTCACTTCAGTAGAATCAGAGAGTTAAAAATTGCTGTCTGGGATGAGACTCAGGTTTCAGGCTCTTCCTATGATGTTTAGGATGATGGTGTGTTACAAAGATATTTGAAGAAGAAACATCTCAATGGATATAAAATTAACGTTATTCAATTTGAGCATTCGTTTAAGGTAAATTCTTTCACACAACATTAGTTTTACAGAACCATTCAGCATTGAGTAACATTTACTTTTGAAGGTAATAAAATAGGTGTAACAATAAAACAATGGGTTTGTTAGTTTCAACATCAAAATTTGGTGCTTGTGGAATAGTCAAAATTGAGTTCTCCATGTTAAGTACTACATGAAGTGACTGGCCTGAGTTATAGTGTATAATTCTTTTTTGTTTTTTTTTTTTTTTTGGGGGGGGGGGGTCCAGTCATGAGGCCTGAACTCTGGGCCTAGAGGCTGTCCTTCAGCTCTTCAGTTCAAGGCTACCGCTCTACCACTTGAGCCACAGCACCACTTCCGGCTTTTTTATTTTTGCTTCTGTGGTGCTGAGGAATTGAACCCAGGGCCTCAGGCATGCAAGGCAAGCACTCTACCACTTAGCCACCTTCCCAGCCCCATAGTGTATAATTCTTAAGTATATTTCCAGGCAAGTTCACTCACTCCAACCCAAGGGATTTTAATAATCCCTTAAAAGTAAATAATATTTTACCAGTAAATATCACTTCCAACAATCTTACATCAAATCCATTTTCATTCTCATTTTCTGATTAATAAATTTAACCCTCAAAATAGTGTCAAACATAATTTTTTCCTCAAAAGAAATTACTGTTTCTGGGTCAGCTGATGAGGACTGTGGTAACTTGACAGGCTAAATTCTGACATTAGAGTCTGATCTGAGACATGGTTAGAATGAACCCTCAGGGCATCAGCTCAGTGATGCGCTCTAGACCTCAGAACCAGAACCAGAACAAAATGACTAGTTCCTTGGAAGCATGCACACATTCTGCTTCAGAACAAGTGTTAGGTCTACCCCCAATAATATGTATAAAAGATAGGAGCCATTATTGACTATTTTTAATAACTGAAATATGACCAGACAAATGAACTACGCTTTAAGCGTAAAATATATCAGACACAAACATTTACAACAAAGAAAATGTATTAGCAAATATCACTTGTACAAAGAAGTTTCATTGTGATATGCCCATATATATAATGTCCATATAAGGCTTTGATAAGATCCAGCTCCTATTGTTTCTTCTTTCCCACTCCTCCCAACACAAAATCTTATAATCAGTTCACTAAGGAATCTATTGGGTTAATGATACTAAAATAATTTCACTTGTTTCATTTTATTTTAAAATGGCACTAGAAACATTTAAATTATATGATTTATTTATTCTTGAGGAATTTTGTGAGTATGTAGAAGGTAACTTTGATTTGCTGGTCAGCTCACTAGTTACCCGAATGTTGCCAGGATTCAGTTTCATCTCTTAAAATGGGAGCAATAATGGTACCTACTTAGTACTGTGACAAAAATGTATGTGTGGGAAAATATAGAATAAGTGGCTTGGTGTAAATAAGCGCTCAAAAAACGTTCACTCGATGGGTTGTTGTTGAGACTATCCTTGATCCCTATTCCCAAATCAAATCCTCTAACTGAGGTCTGTTCAGCTCTGGCATTGAATTCAACCACAAAAAAGGCTTCTACATTTCACATAGATTTACATGGCCTAAACATTTGGAGTTTTGCCTAAGAAGAATAATAGGAGAACTTAGTAGTGTTTTAGTAGAGTTTTGAATATACTATTACTACTTGTCAATATAATTTTATAAAAGTAGATTTAAAAAGTGAAGAATGATAAAACTACATAAAAGTTGAAAATGAAAACAATGACAAAGGAGGGGGTAACAATGCTCAATAGGAAATGTACTCATTACCTTACTCATAACTGTAACCCCTCTATACAGCATGTTTACAAATAAAAAATATATTTAATAATAAAAGAAAAAGAAAACAATGACAAATATAAGTTTTAAAGGAGATCTATGATGGAAACGATCTTTACAATTTTGTCAGGGGAAAAGGGGAGGAGAGGTAGGGAAAGGATACAAAGGAGAGGTAACAATGTTCAACAAGAAATGTACTCATTACCTTACTCATATAACTGTAGCCCCTCTGTACAGCATCTTTACAATAAAATTAAATTAAAAAAAAGAATGTCACCCAATGTGACATATTGCTGAAAGGTTATTTTATGCTGAAGGCAATTGGAAATTAACATAACAGTTCTCCTTGCCCAAGAAAAGAAACATGTGAAATCAGTTTTAATTATATGCTTTAAATATATCAAAACCCATTTAAAACAAATATATAGGGCTGGGAAGGTGGCTCAGTGGTAGAGCGCTTGCCTTGCATGCATGAGGCCCTGGAAAAGACAAAAGCCAGAAGTGGCACTGTGGCTCAAGTGGTAGAGTACTAGCCTTGAGCTGAAGAGCTGAGGGACAGTGCCCAGGCCCAGAGATCAGGCCTCACGACTGGACCCAAAAAAAATTTAAATAAATAAAATAATATATATTTTTTTGTTTAGGTTGGTTTAAAATTATATGGTTTGCATGTGTCCATCTTACATGGAAATGGACAATAGTTCATTCTCTTCAATAGTGAAGGCCTGGTTATACATGCTTGTCATCCCAGCACTTGCAAGGCAGAGGCAGGCTTGGTTCAAGGCAAGCTTGGTATTCATGAGACCCAGACTCAAAACAAAGAGAGAAAAAAAAACAAAAACCCCCAAACTAAAAATTCCAAGTGTCTTCAATGTCTATTTTGTGAGATTAGCTTCAAGGAATCTAAAATCTCACAGGCTGTCATTTTCAACAATAAAAAGATAAATAGCTGAGAATAATGGAAACAAATATTAAGATTATATTTTATTTGGAAACAATTTTAAATTATCTAGACAGATAACATAGTTAAACAGAAAACATGAAATTTCTTACACAAAATCCTGCCACTTCCACAAATCAATTCATAAATTTAACACAATCTCAATAAAGGTACACATGTACATATGTATATATGTGATTGTGGCAGAAAGGCAAGTGTGTGGGGGAAACCAAAAATTCTGAACATCAGTAATGGAATTAGCTTCTGTCCACAACGAATCATCTTATTTAAAAAAATCACAATTTATGAAACACTACTATTTGAGTAAATCCTACGCATCAGAGGTGTTCTGAGCAATGAAAATACCTCTGTGAAGAAAAGACAACGGAACAAAAACAGAATGTTGAGATTTAGTCTACATGTCCATAGAATTCAGCCTATGTTAAAAATAAAATCAGAATTGAAGAGGCAGAAATGAGAAATACGTTGTGTCAAAACTTACAATTAATGCAGAACTGATAATTAAAAATTGCTGGAAGAAAGCCTAGGGAAATTTTCTTTGCTGCCTCCTGGTCCCTTCTCCCTGTTTAATAAACCCCACGAGGTAATGAAATGTCACAAGATTCATTCTTGCAGAAACTGAGTAACTGCTGTCCTCTTTGGAGGTCCTTGTAACCAGCCTCGCCAAAATCTGTTCCAACAGAATACAAAAACAGGAACTAGACCTTCTGCATTTAAAGAGGAATGCATATGGATATGAATTCAAACACTGACAAAGACCAAAGGCTAAACTTGCAGAATTGCATGAAAACATGGGTAGCTCACACATTAAAACAACAAAAATAAGTTTAAAGCAACTCCGGTTTGGGGAAGTTGAAATCCTTCTACAAGCGAGGATTCTTACCCGCGTCGGATCTAAAATGGCCGACCAAAAGTTGTTTTTGACGCACTATAACCCTACCACAGCTTTGCAAATAAGCTATGCGATACTAGAGTTCCCTGATCCAGAAATACTCTGGAAAAAGGGGGGGGGGGGGCTTTCCGCAGCTGCTTTTCAGTGAATTTCTCGGCATAGAAAAACAAACCACAGGAGCTAGAACACACCCTCATCGGCTACAAATGCTCCCAAGGAGAGACGTTTTGACAACTCGGAAGGAAAGCGCGCGAAAGACCACTTAAATTTCTCCTAGATGGTAAACTTTCAAGTTGACTAAAGCAAAACATATAGGGAAGAACACAATGCCGGCTGCCATCCAATTAAGCCCAGAAAGAAAGCCAGAGGCGGAGAGGGAGTGGGCCAACCAGAGAGCAGGGCGGAACTTTTGAATTACCTTTTAGCCCAATCCGAGGAAAACCTTTAACTAAGAAAAGGGTTAGGGGGGAGGCGTTTTACTTGTTTGTGCTGCTGGGCAGCTGTGGGAAGCGGTTGGGGCTCACCCCTAGTTCAGCCAGCGGACAACCAGGGCAGATAGGAAGGAAATGCAAACCCCCGTTTAGGCCAGCGAGCCCTGACCTCCGCTAAGCCAGAACTCAAAAGCTGATTTGAGGGAAAGCAATCCAAATGCTTGCAGCTCTTTATTTCGAGATCTGTGGTGGCTCTGAAAAGAGCCTTTTGGGTTAAGTAGGACTAAAAACCTACTTCTTCTTGGGTGCAGCCTTCTTGGGCTTCGCAACCCTGGGTTTGGCAGCTTTAGGCTTAACAGCCTTAGATGCGCTCTTGACCTTCTTGGGTTTGGCCACCTTCGCCTTCTTCGGGCTCTTGGCCACCTTCTTAGTCACGGCAGCCGCTGCTGGCTTCTTCGCCTTCTTAGGGGTCTTCTTGGCGCTCTTTTTCGGAGTGGCGGAGCCAGTCGCCTTCTTCGGCTTCTTGGCTGCGCCGGCAGGCTTCTTAGGCTTAGCCGCGCCCGCCTTCTTGGCCTTGGGCTTGGCCTCCCCGGAGGCCGCCTTCCTGTTAAGTTTGAAGGAGCCGGAGGCGCCGGTGCCCTTGGTCTGCACCAGGGTGCCTTTGCTCACCAGGCTCTTCAGACCCAGCTTGATGCGGCTGTTGTTCTTCTCCACGTCGTAGCCCGCTGCCGCGAGCGCCTTCTTGAGAGCGGCAAGGGACACCCCGCTGCGCTCCTTGGAGGCGGCCACAGCCTTGGTGATAAGCTCGGACACGGGAGGTCCAGTCGCCTTGCGGCGCGCTCCGGCAGGCTTCTTGGCAGCCTTCTTCTTCACCGGAGCCTTCTCCGCCGGTGGGGCGGCAGCAGGAGCGGCTGGAGCAGTCTCAGACATGTTGAAGCTCTAGAACTGGGAAACAAGTGGCAAGACGCCGATGGAGCTGCGCTGGGGCAGGGCCTCGGTATATATAGAGCGCAGGCGCGCGCTGATTGGTGCTCCGGTCGCCCGCCTGGCTGGCAGCCTCGGAGCCGTCGCGCTGCGCCCAAGTTGTGTTTGTTCCACCTCACAAAAAGGAGAAAATATTAAAATGCCCCGCACCAAAACACCCGGATTTGACCAAGAAATGATCTTAGAGGTCTCAGGCTTCGGACTCTACATTTATTTTTTTTGTAACCCCAAAGACAACGCGTGTAGACGTCTCCAAATCTCTCAACTCTAAAGGAAGTCCAGGGCAGTCAGAGACCACTTTCTGTTTTTCTTCTAAATTACCTGGTCGCTCCTTTGCCCCTGAAACTTCTTTTTCCTAGGGGTGGTTGGGCACATGCTTCTCTTATCTTAGGCACAAAAACGGAATTGGTTCCACCCAAATTTTCACGATAATTCTGTTTCTTCGCAAGGGAAGTAACACAGGTCCTTGGTGAATTCTGCATACAGACCCATAGTAACTATGGACTGGGACAAGGATTTCCAAGGCCCCTCTAAAGCAGTTAGGACTGGAAGGGAGGGGGCTCATAACCCTTGCGAGGGTCCTAGAGGGTGAGAGGTTAAGGACGTATATATTTGAGTTAAAGACATTGAAACCGTCTAATCCTTTTTATGGGTGGGGGCGGGGCACCCTCTTCACTTCTCCAAAGGCAAGAAATTGGGCTGTATTTTAAAAGCCCTCAGATTCCCTTCTGACATTTTACTAGGTAGGGGGTCTGACCCTTAAAAATGAGAGATACTATAAGAAGTAAAGGAGAAAAGGAGACCCCGTAGGCCTGTAAAGTATTCCCAATCGATCTGGTAGTTTGGGACATTGATGATCTGTTTTCAAAGAAAACAAGCATTTGTTAGATGAATTTTTATTCTTGAAAATTGTAGGCTATTTCCAATAAAAAAAATACTTTATTTGTGCTATACTATGAGCTGAAATGTTAAGGTGGAAATAAAATCATTAAAACACAGATTTGACATTTTATTTATTGACAGTAATAAAATGCACTTTTGACCTAAGAGATGAATCAGAGTTGAAATCGAAAATACCAAAATTGTAAACAGAAAAAGAAGGAAATGTAGTAAAATATATAAGTTATACCTTTGTGTTAACTAGCTGAATATCACCTCCTCATCCTCTCTAAAACTGGCCACATTTGCTTTCCTTAGTTAAAGATTGCTGTTTCATAATCACCCACTGGTTCCAAGAAATTGCAAATTTTTCCTTAAGAGAAGGAAGGTAACCTTTTTGCTTATATATGTAATTGATTATGTGTTTATATTAGGGAGAAAGGAAATATTAAAGTTAGCCTTACATTGTAATCCAATCAAAGGGGTTATATAAATTAAATTCAGTGATGTTCAGACAACAAAACAATCTTTTAAAATAAGAATGGCCGTATAGTTTCACTGAATAACATTTGTTTGGCATGTGGAAACTGTCTACTTCTATTCATACCCTCTGGGAATTAACAGCCTAATGAGATTAGGGATGGATGATTTAGCAGCAGTAGAAAACAACTTCAGATTTGCCATTCTTCTCTATATTTGTGAATTCTATAAATGTAACACATTATGAAAAATGTACAAATCATTGAAGCACTTTCAATATAGTATACAAGCAGTTTTAGTAAAAGAAATAGGATAAGATCAAATTGCTTCCACTGTGTGCATTGAGCCCCTTTTTCAATTGAAACTCAGTGAAGTGTTCATATTCATTAGAACAATAGCTGTGTAAAGTCTTAATTACCAGGTCTCTAGTGTTCTCTTCACTATAAATTTTTATCTTGATTTTTAAATCCCGCGCCTGTAAATTTGATGATTGTAATTCAGTTATCTAATGTGATCACTCATCCTGAACCAATCTAATCACACCTCTAAACAATAAATAGACAGAAACTTACTTCAAAAATTTCCTGGCCAAGGGGTGGAAGTGACTTAAAGGCAAAGGATCACAAAATCATTCATAAACTCTGTAACCTGTGTTGAAAAAAAGAGATATAAAACTTTAAAACAAGGCAAACATATTTTGCTATGCCATTCCAAACTATATTAAAAAATTATACAAAACAAACACTTCTGGCTCAACTGAAACCTAAGAGAGTGTTAGAAAACAAAATAATTGTGTTACATACATTTCAAAAAAAATCTGTTAGGGACATTGAAAAAAGAGGTGACAGCAGTGACATTGGTTTTATTTATTTTTGCCAGTCACAGGGCTTAAATTGAGGGCCTGACCACTGTCCCTGAGCTTCTTTTGCTCAAGGCAAGCACTCTACCTCTTGAGTCACAGCATCACCTCAGTTTATGTGGTACTGAGGAATTGAACTCAAGGAACTCAGGGCATCATGTGTTCTAGGCAAGCACTCTACCACTGAGCTACATTCCTAGCACAACATTTGTTTTAATAATAGATTTTACTTCACTTGCATATTTACTTGAATTTATAAGCAATATTTTAGATGATATACTTTATAGTCTTTTAAAATGGTAAGTCTTAAATATCTCATGTGTTTTATATCTATAGAACATTTCAATTAAGACTAGCACATTCCAAGTATTTAATAACAAATTGCAACTAGGAGTTTTATTATTAGGCAGACAGCACAGCTTTTATATTTAATTAATTAATTTATTTTTCTGTCAGTCATGGGGCTTGAACTCTGGGCCTGGGCACTGTCCCTCAGCAGTTCAGCTCAAGGCTAGCACTCTACCACTTGAGCTACAACACCACTTCTGGTTTTTTGGTGGCTTATTGGAGATAAGAGTCTCAGGTTCTTTCCTGCCTGGGCTGGCTTTGAACTGTGATCCTCAAATCTCAGCTTCCTGAATAGCTAGGATTACAGGCACGAGCCACTGGCACCTGGCCTTAGCACAGCTTTTGAGTAAGGTAACTTCTGTGTACCTATGTGTGCACATACACAATTACTGGGGCTTAAACTCAGGACCTCACACAGACTCCTGCTTAACTTTTTCACTGAAGGGTAATATTCTACCACTTGAACCACAGATCCACTGTCAGCTTTTTACTGGTTAATTGTAGATAAGATTCTTATCTACAAGATCCTGTCCTGCTTGGCTTCAAAGTGAAATGCTCAGATCTCAGCCTTCTGAGTAGCTAAGGTTACAGGTGTAAACTACCAACAGCTGGCTTAGTTGAAGGTGGTTTGACTTAATATTTACTTTTTATTGAGCCCAGAGTATGTAGAATTTGGTGTTGCATTGTAAAAATTAAGGAATTAATAAGGTTTTATCCAGAAGGATACAAATTAATTTTTCTAGTACAAAATATGAACCTAAAGTGAATGACTGAATTGCCCAGAAGGACATTGGTCAATTTTGTATATGATTTTTTAGTCTTCTTCCAGCACTTTTTCTTTCCCTGAATAAATCCATGTTTCATTTTCCTAAATCTTCCTCCAAAACTACCTTTGTCACCTTGCTCGCACTTATTAACTAATCAAAGCATCCTTTGACCCATTCATGAGCTCATGTGCAATTACATGTGAGTCATGTTTTTTAAGTTAAAAAATTATATGGTAACACTAGTCAATTTGTCCAAAGAGCATGAAATCAAACTCATCAGTAGTCATTCTGAAAATTGGAAACACAAACGTTAGACCATGAACTTTGAAGGAATCTGTGACGTAGTTAGAGTTCACTGGAGTCTTCAATTTTGAAATAAGATTGCACATGTCTATAAACAATGAAGAGTCTATTCATATGAGCTTCAAGGGAAAGTTCAAGTTAAGAATGGGTTCTTTAGAATTAACAATGATGAGTTCAGGGTAATCACAATAAGTTGAGGACATAGTCAAAATATTACAATGTAATTGGATTTAAACCTAAGGTGAATACTATGGAGTGGCTAAATTTGTTTCATGGCATACTCTACAAGTTCTGAAAATCTTGGTGGACAAAATGAAATATGCAGAATAAAATGTCAGGTCCAAATCTGTGAAGGAGCTGAAGAGAGAAAAACTGAAGAACAAGACATACTCAAAGGCTGGTAAGAGGAGTTGCTAAGAAAGGGATAAAGGGGAATGAGGCCCTAGGTTTGATTCTTTAGCACCACATAAGCAGAAAAAGCCAGAAGTGGTGCTGTGGCTCAGGTGGTAGAGCACTTGCCTTGAGCTGAAGAGATGAGGGACAGTGCCCAGGCCCAGAGTTCAGGCCCCACAGACTACAAAAAAAAAAAAAGGACAGAAAAAAAAGAAGGGAAAAAGAAAGGGATAAAGGACAGACAGGAGATGACAGATTCTTTTTCTTTCACATCTTCCTTCTAAGATGCCAGTGGGGTTCTGTCAGCATTTGGTGATAGTTAACTAACATCAACAAATACTAGTAAAGGCCCCAACTTTGAAGAATTAGAAACTGCTCTTTCTTGATAAAAAATGAAGCTAATAATAACAGCCAGTTTACTAGCAGAGCCTGACTAAAAGAGTGCCCAATTACAGTGATGGGTGTTTGTTTGTTTGTTTGTTTTGCTTTTTGTTCAGGACCGAGGGCTTGAACTCAAGGCCTAGATGTTGTCCCTGACCTATTTAGCTCAAGGATACTGCTCTACCACTTGAACCACAGTGCTACTTCTAGTGTTTCTTTCTTTCTTCCTTTCTTTCTTCCTTCCTTCCTTCCTTTCTTTTCTTTCTTCCTTTCTCTTTCTTTCTTTCTTTCTTTCTCTTTTTCCTTCCTTCTTTCCTTCCTTCTCTCTCTCTCTCTCTCTTTCTTCGTTTCTTCATTTTCTTTTTTATTTTTAGGTGGTTAATTGGAGATTAACTGGGCTGGCTTTGAACCTGAATCCTCAGGTCTCAACTTCCTGCATTGCTGAAATTACAAGTATGGGTATGACCCACTGGGTCCTGGCTTTGTTGTTGGAGTTTTTTCCTTCTTCTTTTGTGCTGGTGTTAGGGTCCTCTGGCATTTCTCCTTCTTATTCACAGCTAGTTTTCTACTATTAGAGC